GACGCCTGAGCTCACCCCGTTTGTCCCAGTGACTTAGCTCACTGAGTTTCTAATTAAGTCTAGGCTAGTGACCACACTGACCAGCTGTCACCTAAAAGGTCCGGGTGGAGGGCCAATGGGCGCCACGGGGGCCATGAGAGCAGCTCACAGGGAGAAGAAGGAAACGAGGGACCAGATGCAGGGCCTCTTTCTTTGTTACCATGGCAGTAGGATTTCCCATCCAAAATGTAGCTGGAATGTAGTCGCCAAAGGTCAATGAAGTAAAGTGGGTAGGCTGGTAAGGACTAGCTGACCTTATTAATATCCATCATGCAAGGTTACATTATGTATTCATGAACACATCTTTCACTATCAGCCTAGAATATTTGAGGTCGAGTCCATTTGATTGATTGACATGACAACACCAGAAAAACAAAAACTCAAATTATGATATTTTTAGAAAAAAAAAAAGAATATAATATTTGAAATAATGTTTCAGGAATGTACTGTGTATTAAAGAGGCACTAGGTAAGATTTTTGATAAATATCATTAGTAACGTTATAGATCTTGAAAAGAAATGGCAGACCTGCATGACTGATCTGCATGATCACCCAAGTTAAGGAAAAACTCAGAAATAAATAAACAATAGCACAATTTTTATGATCAAAATGATCAATTTCCTGTAAAATTGCTTGAGTTTTATTTAGCTGGATAATGCAAGCTGTTACTGAAAACGCATATTGCTGCAAAGAGTCCCTCATGCGCCCGGAGTATACAAAGGAAAGACGTGCCAGATGAGGGGGAGGGTGAAGGCTCTTATCAGTGAGGTGAAAGATGTCACGGAGATCATTCCTCACACCCTTTGCAACTCTTGAGTGTACTGAGCAATATTCAAAACCTCTGGGGGATAGGAAGTGTTTCACCTCCTAATAGTTAATGCCCCTTATTCATGTAAAGAACAAGGTCTTGTACCTTATTCCCATTTTGTTCAGGGCAGAATATGGCAAAGGCTTCTGTATAATGTTTAGATTTTATTATTCACTTGAATGACAAACAAGCTTAATTGTAATGCTACCTTTGGCAAATAGGTAAAACATTACCACAGACAGAAATGGAGATGAGTGAAGCACAGCAATATGTGCTCATTATGTATTCATTGAAGGGTATCTTTTTTCATTATCAAGGCTTTGAAGGTTTTACAATTTTATTGTTGTTCTTTAAAGGGGGCTCAGAGATTTCACTGACAACAAGAAAGCCATTTGTGTTCTCTCTGACTTATGGGGTTTTTATCTGCAGAGTGTAACTTTGCAGCAGGTACTGTTCTCTGTGTGGAGTTTGGCACCTTGCGGCAGAAGTGCTGAAGTTAAATCACCCGACAACAGAGCATGATGAGGTCTCGTCACACCTCGTTAGCATAAAGACTTGGCTTGATGACACCTATCTGATTTCACTCTGGGATAGAAAGAGTTTACACGTGTGAGTTCACGGCTTAGTGGCACGTGTAAAAAACCTCTACGTATTGGACTGTCCTGTGTGAGTTCCTACACTTCATGTCTTCCTGAGAGATGAGCTTCCCTTTTGTGGTGTTATGTTGGTCACCTTGGCTGGACAGACCAATGACACAGGTGGTACGTTATGCATTACAAATGTGCAGTAGCATTCCTATCAAGAGAACAATGTTGTACTAAGCTGGATTCACAGTTCAGTCTATTTGCATTTGAGTCCCATTTATTAATTGGAGTGTTAAGAAGTTAAGAAGTGTTAACTTCTTAGGAGTTGTTGCCATGATCTGCTAATTAATATGAGGTATTAGTTCACTCACTAAGTTAGACCAATTTTTACCAGATATTATATACAGTTTGCAAAATGATTCTGATCACTGTGCAGGCAGGTTCAATGCAGAAAGGCATCAAAGTACATGATTTCTGCCTTTGTTCAGCCCAACAGCTGTGAAGCGAATACACAGGCCTGTGCTCATTAAAACGGGGGAGCTGGGGGTTGGGAGAAGAAAGGAGGGGTTCAGCATGGCAGGTCTACTTCCTGTGAGAAATATCCTCATCCATGTCACGATGTGCCTCCATTTGTACTTAATAACGAATGTTAAATCAATAATGCTAAAAACCTGGCACACCTGTTACAGGGCTTCTTAAACAAGACCAGAGCCTGGTCTAATCCCTGTAGCTCATTCCCTGAGTCAAGGCTGCGGCACTGATTTGTGATGCGCAGCGTCGCCTATAAAGAACGCATCGCATAGCTTTAATCCTCTTTATCCAGTGGCTAGGCTGACCTCTGACCTCTAGCGAACATTCACCACACTATAATCTCAACCTTTAGCTTTCCACTTTTCCCTACCAGCCTGGCCTGATTGATTCTCTCCAACCTCCCTTTGTCTCTGTCCTTTGGCTAGTAATTATATTAAGCGTAGCTCAATATAAAAACAAAGCGTACGCTGTTCGGAGGAGGAAGCCACTAACTTGAACACATGGCAATGAAGCGGTGGAGGGTGCAAGCAATCAGGTGCTGTATTGATTATCTTGGTTTGTGATATCTCCTCTTACAACAAACAGCGCCATTAACAGCGTGAACCTTAATTACCCAAACAGACTTTAATTGATCAGATATAAATCTTGAAAAGTTAATTAAGCTGACCAAGCAATCAATCGAATCACAGAAAATCACACAGATGGAACCAGTCAATATCTTGTGCTCTTACCTGGCAAATTTGTGTTTTAAAACACAGTTAGTCTTGCAAACACTTATTCTGTTGAATATCTGAACTGATTACAGATAAACTGATTTGACATTATTGTATTGGATGCAGTAAAACAGTGGGGACTTTGTCATTTGTTATCTTTTCATTTACTGTAGTTATTGCTACAAGGCATCGTGGATCTGCATTTACTGTTGTCATCTTCACTCCATAAAGCCCAGTCATTTTATTAATTATACTGCACTATCGCCCCCTGCTGGAGACAAATGCTTCATTACAACTACAGGAATTTTCAATAAAATGACATTGCTCCAAGTTTTATATAGCACACATACTGATTGCTAAGATGAAACCTAGTGGTAGCAATTTAAAAAAGGGCATTAAAATAAATTTTTAAAAACTCACCACCCAGAAAAGTGTTTCTTGGGCCAGAGCCTGATACTGATCAATAGTGGACAGTACGCTGAGGATCAGGCAAGATAGTACAATCAAAAACCTGCAAAAGGAACGAGACATAAAACACTCATCTGTGCACCAAGCACAAGAATACATTAATAAATAAATAAATCATTAAAATCAAGTAAATAAATAATTAAAAATAAAACAAATAAATAAAAGTTAAAAATTAATAGAACAGGTAAACTCTTCTACATTTTGGAAAACCTGAAGCACCCTCTGCTGGCAAAATCTGTCTATCACACCAATTCATCTTCAGTAACCACTTTATCCTGGTCACAGTCAGGATGAATCCTGAGCCTATGCCGGGAACACACCCTGGATGGGATGCCAGTTCATCTCAGGGCACCATGCGGACACCTATTCACACCTAGTCTCAATTTAGCATAACTAGTCCACCTCCAAGCATGTTTTTGAGAGATGTGAGGAAACCGGAGAACCCAGAGGGAACCCATGTGGACATGTGGAGAACATGCACTGAAACTAAACACACACAGTAACTCGAGCTCTGTATCAAAATGGGGGCCCTGAAGATGAGGCGGATGCACTACCCGCTCCATCACCATGCTGCCCCTCACACCCATCAGAACACTGTATTTCATCATATTGATATTTTTACTAATATTTTAGTGTTTGACATGTCTTATTAAATTTGTCCACTAGGTGGGAACATTGTATCAGAGTAGGAATATCACTGAACAGTGCTGGCCAAGCACTTGGAATTCACATTGTTGCAAAAGAAGGACAGTGGCTTAGCATTTTAGCTCTAGATATTCATAATCTCATAGAAATAAGAATACACCTCAGCGATTATATCTTTGAAAATCTGATTACAATCTCTCTAATTCAGGGAAAGAGTTTTTGTACACTCAAGAGTTTAAGTGGTAGTTAGCAAATGTTCCAGAGAGAGTTGCTAGCAAGGTAGCTATTTATTTAGCCAACTCAAGTGTACATACATATTTTGGCATGAAATGTCACTAAAAAGAGAACATCCCATTCTCTGACTGTAACTTGGCTTATTAGCTGATGGAAACGATGTTCCTTCACTCTGTTCTTCGGCTTCTGTGTCTTTCTGATAGGGTGAGGAGCTTGATAGAGTAGAGCTGCTGCTCTTCTAAATTAACAGACGATTGGATTAGATTAGGTGTTTGGGCAACATGCAAGGATGTATGTATGCTGGACGGAAACCTCAGGGCAAACCCAGGATGTGCTGGAAAGAATATATCTCACACTTGGCTTGGGAATGTCTGGGGATCTCCCAGGAGGAGCTGGAATGTGTGGCTGGGGATAGAGAAGTCTGGACAGACCGTCTTAGCCTGTTTCCACTGCGACTTTCAACAGGAAAAAGGGAAGGCAAACATATGAATGAATGAATGAATGAATGAATAGCACACTTAGCTGAACCTGACACAGGGAACAGGAATGCACATAGCTAAATTTGCACTTTATTTTATCATAAGCTCATTTGAACCCTCAAACTTGCTACTTGTAGCCATTCCTCAGTACTAAAACTGCATACATTTGCAGAGCATTAGAGCAGATGTTTGAAGGCAAACACAAGTTTTCGGTATTGAAATGTGTTCCCATAGCAGAAAGTATCATCATTAGTTTAGTTTGGCAATCAGTCTGTTACTTAAGTGGATAACATACACCTTGCTTAGCCCCCACAATTACACCATTAAACATACAAAAATAACAGTTAACAAGAAATCTTATCTGAATGAATCGAATGTGTTCTAACATTTAGGATTTCTTAATTCTATTAAGAATACAGCAATTGGGATACAGCATTTTTTTCTGTATTTTCTATAACTTCTATATTTCTTCAGTCACACTCAGTAGTTTGAATATGGGTCCCTGGAAGACTAGTGGTTAGACCACGGCACCCTCACTGCTGTGGCTTGGGTTCGATTCCCAGCCAGGGAACCAAGCCCAGCACGCGTCAGCATACTCCCAGTACCAGTCCCAAGCTCGCATAAAATTGAGGCGGGGTTGTGCCAGGAAGGGCATCCAGCGTAAAAACTGTGCCAAATCAAATATGCAAACCAATGATCCGCTGTGGTGACCCCTAATGGGAGCAGCCGAAATAAGAACAACACCACTCAGCAGTTTGAATAAAACTGATTCACAATTCCGTTTAAGTTCGTTTAAAACTGTTTAAAACACTTGAAGACTCACTAAACCTAGTGATGTATCATCAGGTGTTTTGCTAATGAGTCGTTCTGTTCAAGGGAGTCATTTCACAAGGACAAATGAACTTTTGTCATTTACACACCACAACAAGCATAATCTTGATAAGCTTAAACTTGTCATCATTTCTGTGTGCTGTTGAGGCTCCACAAACAACAAAGGTGAAATGCAGTATATATAATTTTTTGTTTAAAACCATCTTATCTTCAGTCTTATCTTCTATCATCATCTCAGTCATAGTCAATGAATTGAACATCTACCTTTAGTCTGCTGGATGCTAGACATGCCATAAAAACAAAAAATCAAAAAAACAGTATAAAACCTGTCAGTGTGTACTACTTTGTGGCTCAGAGGTTGACATTTTACCTGACACAACACTGAGTAGTGAATCAAATGAAAAAAAAAAAAAAAAGTTCAAAAGAATTGGCACCTCACAGCCTCACGGGTCCCTAGTTCGAGCCTGAGCTCATGTTACTCTCTGTAAAGAGTTACTAACCCTAACTCGTATTTTCCGATTTCCGACACCTCGCAAAAACAAGCAAGTAGGTGGATTAGCTATGCTCAATTTCCCTTATGTGTGTGTGTGTGTGTGTGTATGTGCATGATGCCCCGTCATGGACTGGTATCCAATCTAGGGTGTATTCCCACGTCTTGCCCAGGGTTCCCAGGACAAGCTCCAGATCCACCATGACCCTGACCAGGATAAAGCAGTTAATGAAGACAAATGAATGAATGAATGAATGAATGAATTGAGTCATAATTCTTATCACTGTGGCACTGTGACTCACTATCACCACCTACTGGAACAAACTTTCTTTGAGAAACTTCAAACACTGCTTATATCGATTTATGACCAGCTTTCCTTATCAGATTATGCTCTATAAAAATTGGTCTTGTTTAATGAACAGTTCTACTAAGAATGACTGCAATTAAAAAGGTAAAATATGATCATATGCATGTACATGAAAGGTTGCTGACAGCTGAGCAATGTCAAGGACAGTCCTCTGGCCCAGGTCTTTACCTGACGTCAGACCCTCTGCCTACAAGATCTCAGATATGAAGGCTTTGAGATAAAAAAAAAATCTGTAATAAGTACACTGTGCATTCTGTAAAACAGCAAACAACAAAAATATAAAAACGGTACCTTTAAAAAATCTTTAGAGGGAACAGAACACTATAACGCTAACATTACAGAATGTCCTAATTAGTTAAATCTTCTAATGAGCCACCCTGGGATCATCTAAAACGCTACTACTTATATGAATTAGACTTTAATATGTTTGATCCATGTGTGTATGTGTGTGTGTGTGTGTGTTTAAAGTGTCAGTGACCAATTTTTGAGCTTATCTACTAAGTGTAAAGTCCAGGTGAGCTTGAAAACACAGGGTTGGAGGTTAAACACATCACTGGGTTGCTCTCCTACAAGGTCAGCTGCATGACTGAATGGCTGGACCAACAAAAAAACCCGGCTTCAAGTTCCCCATATGTACGATAAAACTGTTTTCTTTATTGAGAGATAAGAGAGTTTTACCTTGAGCAGCTATGCCATTATTCAGACAGGGCCATGCTGTGCAAACTCCACTGTTTTCTCTATGCTAATCCTCTGAAAAACCTCTGTATATTAACAGACAGGCCAGGCAGATAATTTAGAATGTATTAGATAAACATTACCAGCCATTTAATGGACCTGGAGAACATCTAAATGCATAACAAGGTTAGAAAACCCTGCATTGAAGCTATTACATACATTTTTGTGGACTTATTTAATTTGATTCACTTGGATCTATGGATTGATGTTAACTATAAAATAACTGTGAGATAATTGTTCTGGACAGCGAAACTGTAATTGGATAGAAGCTCTAGAATGACCATTTCTATCTCATACTTTTTGTTTTCAGTCAACATCAGGGAGGTGTTTTGTACAGCATGTCAGCCAACATGTAAACGCCTCATTCATGCATTTAAAAGAAATTACCAACCAGCAAAACACAACCAAAGAACAGACAGCATGCAGCACAGCTGCTGTTATGACAAAGGAAGGCCAGCTGTTAGCTGTCAGCGCTGCCACACAGGGAGGGGCCAGAGACGTAAGGAAACACAGTCTATTGGGAAATGGCTGCCTGTCAAAAGTTTCATCTTCATCAGTCATTATTTATCGTAATCAGTGCATGAGCTTTTATGGCCTTCAGAAGAGCTTTTCAATACAAGAACAACCTGCAGTTACAACTGAAACTACAAAAACAGCCTGCAAAAATGACGGTTTTATATGAATAATACATCTGTGCTTCAGTGAAACCAGCAGAGCTCAGCAAAAACTGCTCATTCTAATTGGTACTAAAAATAAAGCTAAAGCAAGCTGAGTGACTAACAAGGTTTTTAAATAAATGTGATGTCACAGCACAGTATATCACTTGTTAATCTTCATTGTGATGCTGACCGTAGATTGTGATATGCAAAAGTGTCCTCATTAAATGATAATCACTAAGCCTGTTGTGTGCTGCAGGGCATCCTGCATCCTCGTGGGAGGGAAAGCGAATCTTTCATTGTCACCAAGGTGAGTGGACATTTTTCTTTCTTTCTGTCAATGTCCACATGGGTTTCCTCTGGCTTATCTGGTTTCCATGCTGGTAGGGTGGACTGGTTATGATAAATTGTTCCTAGGCATGAATGAGTATATGTATTACACCCCTCCCACACCCCAATCCAAGGTGTATTTCCCAAGCTACGGATCCACTGTGACTCTGCTAAAGAGATTAATGTAGATGAATGAATGAAAAATAGCCCAACTTAGTAAATTAGTAAGAGGTAAGAGCACTGAGTCAGCCGTTGAACATGACTGATGACTGTGGAGCAGCTGAGGATTAAGGGCCTTGCTGAAAGATTCAACAGTGGCAGTCTGGCAGCAGAGGGATTTGAATTCACAACCCTTACCATTGACTTATCACCTACACAGAACTACAAAAAGGAGTTGCTTTTATCTTGCCAGTGATATGGACTCCTTCCATACGTCTGATGCTGTTCTATTCATAAATTACATAACTGATATTTAATGCCTCTCATGCATGCCTCTCAGGTTATTGGTTGAGGTGTTGTCTATTATAATAGACATGTTGTAATTGTGTTATCTTATTCAGCTTGTCCATTCCCTATCTTGCCTTCTGGCTCTCCGTATGAGCCTCATATGACAACAGCAAACATTCTACTCTGTCTTCTGTCACTCAGTCTTACAGGTGATCATAAACAATGTGCTAGAAACAAATGTACATAACAGAACGTGCACATTCAGGTATACACTATGATGCAGACACGCACATAAAGACATGCATGCAAACACAGACTAGTCATGCTGTAATGATAAGTGCAGTTCATCCCCCTACACAAGTGGCTTTGGGGTGGGTGGAGCAGAGATAAGTAAGTGCACATCTCAGTTCGCCTTGCTTGCCTGCCTCCTATTCATATACCCTCATACAAAAGAAAAGGTTACAATTTAGCCATCAGTCCAAAACTTTTCCTGTGACAGCTACCTGAATGAACAATATTAAGAACAGGTTAAAACACCGTGCTTTCCCATGCTAATAGTCTCTAATACTTCTTACGGGTGCATGAACTGGTTTAATACAACGGCAACGACCAATTACATGACCAGCTTTCTTTCCTTGCACTTTCTCTCCCTGCTTCCTGTTTTCCTCTCCAAATCCATGTCCAGGTTTTGACATTTTAGGTACAAAAATGACCAGATCTTTGCCGGTTTTGAGAGAATAATGAATTTCTACTGGACGTAGCATGCACCTATATAGGCTACAGAAGTCAGTACTACTTATTGCATGATATTTTGAAAAGTTTTTTTGTTGAATGACTTGAAATATTTCAAATATATATGTAGCATCTGTAAGCTCAGAGAGATTGTAATACCCCAGTCTGCCTTTCTATCTTCTATCTAAACAACACAGATGAAACCTACACTTGAAAAGCATTCTTGTAAAAGCCCATGTGCTCACTGGATGTGTTATGTATGCAGCTTAGTACACAGAAGGTACACTATCACTCCCAAACTCCCCCTCTATCACTACCCAGCAGCAGTAGGTCACGAGGTCAGCAGGCTTCTGGGCTCCAGAGAGCGACCGTGCTGCTGCCAAGTTTAGCAGCCCATTATCACCTCCTCTCCTGCTAGGGACAGAGAACATGACAGGCAGCTGGTGCCTTCATTCTGCGCATTCCTCTCACACTGTCTTCTGCTGAACCTGAAAACAAGACTTCTCACACCATGAGTGCAATCTCCACTCTTAGGAATCTCTCCTGAGACTCAACACTCACATCATGGACCAACCGCAGGAGTGTCGTGCTTAATATTGGTTTATTAATTCCCTCCCAGTCTTTATGATCTTGATTTCTGTGCCACTCATGTGAACAAAGACATTTATGCTGCTGAGAAAGATGTTATGTAACTTCAGTTAAAACCACACAATTGTGACTAAATCCACTTCAGTGTATTCTCCTCTTAAACAATACCCTTACTTAAGTATGAAATCATGATGATGTATTATTATTTCTAGAAGTTGTTACATCGTAATACCCCCTTTCTGATGTCTTTCTGTGACGTTATCATTAATGTATGATATTACATCATAATACCAACAAAATAATGTAAGATATTTGAAAGATTACATCATAGAACCAGTTTCTGCTTCTTCCTGAACAATGTATTATAATTGCAATGTAGCAGTAATAGAACATTT